GAATTTCGACTTTTTTCCACGATATTGTATTATAAACACTTTGAATAGGCCTTCTTGGGTGTCCTTTATAGGGTTTTGGGGTCGACAAACCCGAATTTAAAATAAGTATTCACTTTCTAAAATCCAATTGGGTAATCTGGTTGCAGAATCCGTTCTCTCCTTTTTGGTTGGCGGCGAGAATGTTCTCTCTTCTTGGTTTGGCGGAACCAAAACGAAACGCAATTTTAAGGGGAGAGAGGGTTCGGGAACCAGATTACCAATTTGGCGGCCATATCCCTCCATAATATGACAAAAAATGGCGTAATTGACTGTCATACTCGCACGATACTAGATCTTTCCTATCAGAAATATCTTTCCGTGTTTATACCCACAAGTCTAACCCTAACCCACCCTTCAGAATAATTTTAGCCACAATCCACCGTTGTTACAGCTTCAATTTGTACGTTTGACATGTAATTTATAAACCTAACCCTAACCCACCCTTCAGAATAATTTTAGCCACAATCCACCGTTGTTACAGCTTCAATTTGTACGTTTGACATGTAATTTATAAACCTAACCCGAACCCTAACCCTAACCCTAGAGAAAGATATTTCTCAGATCGTACAAAGATCTAGTATTGTGCGTCATGCTCAACACATACATGTAGCACTTAAAAAGAGTAATTGTTATATCTTTATTTGATGGGGGATTGGGTGGCCGAATGGTTAGCTCGTGCGCGCTGTATCATAAGGTCTGTCATTGAGTCAACTTGCGTCGTTTCCATTCCCTAGTTGTACGTGCTAAGGAGTAGGGTCGCGTACCTAACCTCGTGGGTTTTCTCCGGTTCCTGCGGTTTCCCCCCACTGCTAAAGACCCCTACGCGCACGCGAATTAAATTATTGATATAAAATTGAACCATATGTTAGTCTCTCTCTCTCTCTCTCTCTCTCTCTCTCTCTCACTCTCTCTCTATTTGGCAGTTTTATTGGATATTGACCCGAGACCTAAAAATGTAACCTTTCACTACATAATACAGTAGTGTGTTATATAGGATTAAAGGACAATATTGGTGCCAGTCATTATCACATATGTGATAGAACTGGTTAAACACGTTCCAAATATTATTTTATCACAGAGATCATTGCTACGATAGAGGCGTAATCAATGCTTCAACAATCGGAAATGACGAACGCAAAAGGAAAACACGAGTTATCCCTCTATATAACTGATGTTGTAAAACTCGCGGTCGTTGCTTCTGGAACATGATTAACCCGCATCAATGTCATCCCTATCAGTGATTGTAGCGGCCTAGCGAATATGCACTGCTGATCAATGTGGAATGTGCATGGTATTACCAGTCTGATTCCAAATGGCCGATAGTATAGTTACCTCCCTTGAAATTTGACTTTGAACGTCCAGACGTAAAATAATCGAATTGAATTAACAGTTCTTGGTCCGTCTATAATGAGCTCATTATTAGTACGTTTCTTGTTATTATGATTGGGGCCCAGAAGAGTTTCAAATGAAAAATCTCCGGACATGTCTAGTGTATAGTTATAACCTTTTGGCTTCGAAACCCCTAATTAAATACAACATTTGCACTTCCCCATGCTACACTGTCTGCTTCTTGCTCCAGCCACAGTGGTGGATCGACGGACTTCCTTTGGGCAGGTTTTGTTATGATTTGATGACAAAAAAGTTATTGGCCTATAAACTCTCTTAATTTCCAATTTCATCGACCCCAAAACTGTACTGTACATAGCTTAACATAATATAATAAACCGATTCCCATTGAAATAAAGGTGAAACCAGGCGCGGATCCAGGGGAGGGGGGGGGGTCTAGGTTGGATAATTGCTTAACTAATTGCGCCCACCGGCGCGAACGCCGAATGCGCTAATCGTTGTAACGGGTGGTCTGGGGGCCCTCCCCCCCCCCCCCCCGAAAATTTTGGTAAATTAGATTCAATTTGGTGCATTCTGACGTATTTAAGGAAGGTAAATTCCAAAATTACAGGTCTAAAAATCGCCAATAAAATCGCATAAAATGTCCTTAAAATGTTGATGAACAAAATATCTTCAGATATCATATTATGGTTGTTCTTAACAAGCTTTATTAGCAGTATCAATTTAATATTAGAGTAACCAGTCCATTTAAGTATAGGAAAGTTGGTCGGGGTTTTCCAGAGCACAAAACTTTCACAGACGAAAAGTCTATAGACTTGGTTTACTGTTTTTACTTTCAGAGCATAAAAATAAATAATATAGCTTGCAATAGTTTCACAGGCTTAATCATAAATGTAGAGGTTTACAGGGAATTTTACACAAGATTAAACAGATTTTGTCAGATTCAGGCTTTTAGATTTAAGTTTCTCGGGCCCGTCAAATTTTCAAGCCTGAGCAGGGGGGGGGGGGGGGTCCGCGCCTGGAAACCTTACAACATAATTATATAAAACCCAACTGCCACTGATTGCTACACGAAATTTCTGTCCATTATTAGAACGCACGTGTTTTCACGTCACCTCGAAAATACAGAAAAACTGTTCGGTAATAAGATTTCAGTGTTCCACTTTTCACTGTTTGTGATATAATAGTGAAAAAAAATAGTTCTACACTATTTCCTAAATCTTTTATTCGTATATTTCTCACCATAAAAAGATTCACATGTATTTTGTAGCTATTATTGTAATTCTTCAGTGTTTTATCACTAGGGGATCACGGTGGCTAAGTGAGTAAGATGCTGGTTCTGTAGCCTGGTCGTCGGGTGTTCGATCGATCCCTGCATTGGCCGAGAAAGTTCATCCCGATTTTCCGGCGTGGTTCCCCTTGTCAGTGATGCAGGACAAGGGCAGCTGTCTAGTCGTTTGGATGGAACGATAAACCGAGGTCCCGTGTATACACATTGGCGTACACGTGAAAGATCCCTTGACAGTTGGAATTCGATAGGCCGCAGTGCCGCTGTCCGGGCAAAATTTCCCTCATAGCACACTGTATGGCGTATGCCCGTCTTCATTAGCCCAGTTCGGAGCAGAACAGTAACGTTAAACTCCATTTCATTTCATTTCATTTCCTAAGGTAGCATGTATATATGGATAAAACTATGCATTAAATCAAATCTCAGTGGTAATTGTAAATATTTTAGATTTTCCTGGGAGAAGATTTCCATGAATTGTATAATTTGTTCTGATCCCAATCTGCTGGTTAAAACACAGATCCTATTTCGTTTCGTTTTTATAGTTCAAAATTTCGTTTTACTTGTCTTTCCATGTAGTGTAGGCCCAATCTGTTTCATAGAGAATTACGAGTCTCGTATAATATCTCTGTCATAGATGACTGCCTTAACAAGTGCTGTCACAGCACGCGGTGTGAATCATTGGCTGAGTGGCGCGTGCATTGTTTACATAAGACATAACTGCTTCGGAGAGAATGCTGCATTTTAGTCATTTTAATACCCATTTACACTAAATCGGAAATAATTTTTACCTACAAATACGTCAAACGCCTTTATTTATTTTTCCAATATATACAAAAAATGTTTTAGAATTTAATTTGTCGCAGGAAAAAAGTTAATATTTCTAGCTCATTAAGCCGCATCAATGTCATCCTTATCAGTGATTGTCGCGGCCAAGCAAATATTCACTGCGGATCAGTGTGTAGGCCATCGAAAGTATAAAACAACGAAACGAAATATATATAGATCTGTATTTCAATCAGATTGTTCTGATCCCGTTTATATACGCATTTTATTGATTTCCACGAATTAATATATTTCATTCCATATGTTATTACTTGATTTATATAATCTAGCATTCCTATCATAATTCCATGTGTGATGCAGGACGGAGGGGCTGACAAGGAAAGCTGTCTAGTCGTTCGGATGGGACGAAAAACCGAGGTCCCGTGTACACATTGGCGTGCACGTAAAAGATCCCTTGGCAGTTGGAATTCGATATAAGAGTAGGCCGTAGTGCCGCTGTCCGGGCAAAAATTTCCCTCATAGCACACTGTATGGCGTATGCCCGTCTTCATTAGCCCAGGTTAGGAGCAGAACAGTAGGACGTTAAACTCCATTTCATTTCATTTCATAATTCCATGTAAATACCTATACTAAGTCTTCTCGTTATTTATGTATTTATAATATTTTAGGGTCGTATTTAGCGGGGGTGCGGGGGGTACATTGCACCCCCAGAAAAATAAGGTGCCCCGAGAAATTGCGCCCCCACCACATCAAAAAAAAAAAAAAAAATTATTTGACAATCTTTCAATTATAAAATAATACACTTGATTAGATAAGATAATATAAGATAAGATGTTTATTGCATCAAAACATGATCACACAATGGTGCTCTTAAGGCACTGATCAGTCGATCGGTTTTAAGGGCGCCCACACGCCAATGGGTTTGATCGAAACTTTTTTATATCACATACGTGAGGCTATGGCGCCCCACCACTCTGCTGCACCCCCACTTTTAAAATCCTACATACGGCCCTGAATATTTATTCATGCATCATAATTGTGCTGAATGCTGTGTCATTATCAAAATGTGTATGTACGTTATACTGTTTGTCCTGTTAGTAAATACATGAATAGCTGGATTAAAATTACCGTATGTTTTATTTGTAAATATATAATATTATATTATTTGTCATATTGTTATAAATTTATGAACATGTTTATATTGTATTGCAGCTATTGACATGCCATAGCTCATGACTGTTCAGCTCATAGAAATATATTTCTATGGTTCAGCTTTTGTTCGATTATTGTAAGTCCTGATAATTGCGACTACCATCATAGATTGACGCCATTTTTAACTGTGGGTATGTACGGTAGGCTACATGTGAATACGGTAGTATTAGTAATAAATATTGTTTATATTGACGTTTTTGAATGTTTAAAATTATCTATGACCAAATATAGATCTAAACTCTACACATCTGGTTGAATGTTTAGTAACAAGGCAACGTGTTTACATTTTTTTGTGTATTTGATGCAGATTGTAATTATTGTTGTTTTTTTAAATGAAAAAAAGTTATCATTGAGTCCATTGCATTCAGTGTTTGGAAATCTTATAGAATCTAACTAATTTGTTTAAACACGTAGGCCTATACGGCCAGATGTTTACTGTAAACGGTACATTATGAATATCGCTTCTGGCAGAATTCTTCAATGTAGGCTATTTTAATATCAATCTGTGAGTGTGAATTCCCCAAAAACCTGTACTACCCGGTAAGACCTACTACTTGTGCAATGTACTACGTACTAAGTATTTATTATATAGTATTTAGTGTCTGTGATAAAACGGATGGGCAATAAATAATTTATTTTCAACAAACAACTAAATTCAAATAATTGTACTTTATTTGTCTCATTTTTGATAGCATTGGCTCATTATTTTACAGAAATATGGGTTAGTATTGTGTGATCAAGGGAGATAATAAGAATGGTGAGACATTGACCAGTATCTGAAATATTAATTGACCATCTCATTTGCAGTATTTTTTTTTTTTTTGCAAGTTTCTCACGATCAATTATCACATTTGTTTATGAAGTGTCAGTAATACTCTGTGGTGGTACAAGATAGCATTGAGTAAATCGTTCAGAGTGGTGTACAGAATCTTAACACCTTCAACTTCAATGAGATACTTCACAAAATCCTATGTTGGACATGACATGAATGTCCTGGGTGAACTGTACATGCGCGAGGTCGGATGTTCCCCCATAGCGTGAAAGATTAAAAAGTTCAACTTGTATGTACACAATACATTTAATGGCTCGGGTTACACACCCACGCCTAATTGTAATGCTTCCTTAAAGCTGTCCAGTGAGTTCAACTGGAGAACTTGGTCCGATAAGCGGTTCCAATGAGCGATTACGCGTGGGAAGAATGAGTGTATACAACATGGTGTAGGCCTACAGATTCTAAAACCTAGCCTTACATGATGAAAGTAATATTGACTTTGTTATGATATAGTCTCCGGCATCATCATTGTACAAGTATTGGTAATCATAAACATGATAAAATTTTCTTGACAAGAATCTTTAAAGTAGCTAAAGTCTCCCAACTCGATGGGGCCTATAATCCAAAGTCTTCGACATTGAAAACTCAAATTATTGGTCAATTTAAATCAATTTTGATGTTGTGATCTTACCGGGAAAAGATGGGCGTCCAATATTTAAGACAAAATAAACAGTTTACCATTGGTACACGAATTGTGTACCATAATGCGTTTCAGCACCATTTGAACAAGGGACTCGAAGAACGAACCTAGACATATTCCACGCCATAGTCTTACATATCTAGAGAGCATGCGCAATAAATACTATCTGTGTAGGCTGGAATAACCAGACGCCAGAGATTGCCATTCGATTGAGACTTCTGGCGTATTTTGCCGAACATAACTGATTTGAAATTAGAGTAAAAATGAAAACTTATTGAATGTAAATCAGTTTATATACATTCATATTACATTTTTATATGCGTTGCGTACCATTTGTGTCAATTTCTAGGTCCCAAATATTAGCGATTTAGCTCCTTTAAGGTTCAGTTCCATTCTCGGGCAAAAACAGATTTTTAACAATTTTCTATTATTATATTTTCAGATCTTGTATGGTTTTGTACTATTAATTGTTAATGAATAAAGACTGAGGAATTGATTGAAAATAAAAGATTTATTAATAAAATAAGAGACAAACTTTTACAATGTCTTACAGAAAGGATAATGACTCATTCCGTAGAGGGTCTTATAGAGGAAGAGGTAATTACAACAGCGAGAGTTTAAAAATCACAATTTCTAGTGAACAAGAAAGGGGGAGACGACAGCATGATTATAATGACAAAAGACATGATAATTTAAATGACCGTTCCGACAAATGGCATGGTGATCGGGACCGCAAACAATATTCAAATTTTAAAGGTCGTGATGGTGGGGGGGTGTACAGAGATAATAGTCGAAAGAGTCGTATAGACGATTTTAAAGGAAACAGAGAAAGTTTTAACGATAGCTGGAGTAATCAAGGTGATCGTAGTTATAAAAAAAGCGATAATTATAGAGAATACAGTGATAACCGAGCCAAGCGCAAGTATTCTTCCGAGCGGGAAGTACCCAGCAATTATCAGAATGATTACAAAAGGAATGATGACTACCATAGTTCATCACGAGACGATCCTTATCCTAAACGTCAACATTTTGAACCTAGAGGTGGAGGATTTAGAGGTAGAGGAGGTTTTAGGTCAAGGGGGTTCGGTTTCAGAGGTCGACCTTTCGACCACAATTTTCGAGACAGATTTGATAATCGCGGTGAAGGGTTTAGAGAGCGTCGTATGAATGAGATAAGAGAACAGAGGGGACGTCGTTATCGTTCAAAAAGTAGGAGTAGGAGTCCGCATAGACCTTCCGATTCTCGTCGAAAAGATGGATCTTCAAGTAGACACAGATCTGAGAGAGATACCGATAAACGTAGTATTTCAGATTTCATTTCAAATATAAGGAATTCCACAAGTCCAAATGCTCCAACCGAGAGAAAAGAGCACATAGCTTCCAAAGAAGAAGAGGAAATCGAAACTCAAGTTATTGATGAAAAATTATTTGAAAAAATGACCATTGATCAAAGAGATTTTATTGCGAGCAAAGCTCTAGGCATCCTCGTTACAAAACCCGACTTCAGATGTAAGCTCAGCGAATTAGAGTATGATTTGATGGATATAAAACTGATGTTCGTATCATCAGAATTATTTTTGGAGTTTCTACAGAGTTTTGTTGATGATGATAACGTATTTGAGATCATTGAACCCGATCCTGATTCTTTACCACCTAAAGACGAGGATGAGGATGAAGAAAAGAACGGTAATACAGATAAATCAGGGCACGATAAACCAGAAAAAGTTAAAATAAAAATTGAAAAAGAGGGAAACGTGGATGATAATGACGAGAATGTTGAGGAAAAAACAGACCAAGATGACGAGTTGATGGATAAGGAGGATTTAACGCATCTTGAAAATATTATTGTTGTGGCTCGACCCAAGTTGACTCTCTGTCTAAAATATAATACCAATATTCGTTCCTGCCGATACAAGTGTAATGCTCTTCATATTTGCAAGTAAGTTTTACTACTATCATATTTGTCAAATCTCTCATCAAAAATACTTACAGTTACAAGGGAAATGCCACAAATGGAAATTTTACGATCGTTAGATACAGGTAGTTCCATCCAAATTCAATCGGATTAAAATATAGATCTATATTTCGTTTTTTTATACACATACTTTCGACCCGCCTACACTACGTGAAGATCTGACCAGTTGTAGTGGAAGGTTGCATCAGGTGTCATACGAGAGGCTTTTGACCTTATTACGTCAGACATTGATTTATTAATCAGCGTTGACGTTCCTAGTGGTTTACCCAAAATTCTGTGCACCTCACTCCAAAAACTCACCGTAACTCAGAACTGACCATTTGATTGGCTAATCCCTCACATCATCCAGAAAAAAGACAAGTAAAACGAAATTTTGAACTATAAAAAAATACGAAACAAAATAGGATCTGTGTTTTAATCAGATCCAAATTTATATTCCCACCTTTTGTTGTCACCTGTCTGTTGGCCTACCTGTTAATAATTCCTTGTTGTCACCTGTCTGTCAGCCTACCTGTTTATAATTCCTTGTTGTCACTCTTGGATCCAAGTTACATAATATATGATTCAGTTAACTTTATATAAAACGCAATCTGTCTTTATATTAGGGTCCAATTAGAACTGTCATCTCCTGATCAGTTCCAAACTGTGTCATGCAGAGACGCCTCTGAGATTGATACGTTCGTTGCCTGGTAACCTGGGTATATACTATATGTTAAGCAATTATTGGAAGTTGAAAATAAAAGTGCTAATCAATCTGAAAATAGATTAGCAGTTACTCTTGATTGAATAGCAAATAAGTAAATTTTCACAGTACTGTATTGAACCATCTCTATAGGCCATAATTTCTAATGTTTATGTGTGTATGGGTGGGTTGGGGACGGGGTGCTTTCATTCCCTTTAAAGCGATCATTTCATATTTTCTAAGAAAGTCAAAACATAATTATTTCCATGTCTTTTGCCCAATAGGTTGTCAACTCACTATTATACGATCATAGGTATTATTCTCCCACTTAAAAATCCTTGACTCCAGAAATAATAACACAATTACCTCCCTTGTTTTTCTATTCCCCTCCGCCATGGAATAGCTATCTTCAATCATTTGAATTTAAAGTTGAAAATGATATTTTTGCCAATTTCACAACTGGCAATAGTGAATTATAGGATTAATAGGATTATTCTTTAACAAGGTAGGACTGTTTATAGATAACCATCTATTTTAAGGCTTTATTTTAATAAATTTTAAAAATATAACTTAAAAATATGAAATTGTAACTTTAATAAACTTCAACTACGAATAGTTTTATGTTATGTAGCATATCGTGTTCTGAATACAAAAAAATGGGTGCAACTCGCTATTTTTCATTTTCAATTCCCGTACGGTATTCAAATTTACATTACGTCTGTAGCGTACTGTACCTCAGTCTTGAATTATAATCTTTTTGAAATGTTTGAAACGTCTCAGTTGACTTAGCTGCTGGTGGATGTACATGTACATGTATGTTTTGTTGATCGGCAACCCATATTTATTGGGTGGAATATTAGAATATTTTGTTATGTGTGATGATATTTTTCAGGTTTCATCTGTTGGCTAAATGTAATGCCCCTGATGGTAGAGTATGTATTTTTACACACAGTATACATTCATCTCACAATCAAGAAGCTCTGAGACACAATCTCCTACATACATTCTCATTTGATGCCGTCAGAGCACTACTTACAAACTTCGAGTTCCGAACACCATCAACATTACCGCCAATATGTTGGTACTACAATGTGAACAGAGGTTGTAATAAATGGACAGCAGAAAATTGTCATTTTATACATTTGTGTCAGTCATTACTGGAGGGTAAGAAGAGGTAAGTACATACATTATAAAAAAAATATTATTTTGTGCTGGTATAAAAAACATATTTTTTTGTGCAGATACATGTACTGTATTGCAAACATTAGATTAAAATGATCCTGAAACTACACTTATTACCTAAAAGCTCTGACTTTATTCTTATTTTACCTGTGAATGTGTAGTCATTCAGATGGAATGGAGGGTGGGGGGGGGAATGGCCAAATGGTTAGCGCATGTGGGCTGTATCATAAGGTCTGTCATTATGTCAACTGGCATTCCCTGGTTGTACGTGACAAGGAGTAGGGTCGTCTGTCAAACCTCGTGGGTTTTCTCTGGGTCCTCCCGTTTCCTCCCACTGCTAAAAACCCCTACATGCAAATGAATTATGGAAATAAAATTGAACCATATTCATTATGAAATGACCTAGTTTGTTTCGAGTGGACGTTAAACCCCATTTCTTTCTCAATCTTGCACTTGCAAAAGAAATGGAAAATTTAGGGGTAGGTTCTCCTCTGTACACCTTGTCTGGCATACTATAAGAACCCATGACAGTTGAAATTCAAAGATTCATAGAGTTCAGAGCTTGTGTACATGTATGTTCAGTTTGACTGTTTAAGGATTAGCTATATCATCTATATGTTCTACTCTGAACTATTTCCTGGATCACAAGTAGATTAGAAACTGTAAATAGAGTGATCTCCCATGGCTTACAGCATTTTTGGGATGCTCGATTCACAGTCCAGAACGTCCCGAATTGACAGAATTGCAATTGAGTAACACGGAATTCAGTACTGTCACAGTTCAGTCAGTCCTGACAATGGAGGTGGTGTGAGTAGAATTGTGACGTAATTAAACACAACGAATATGTTTCAACTGCATGTTTGGTTGGGATATTTACTTATCCAGTTGATGCATGCGTTGTGGCCCGAAATACCCCTTTTTCAATCGATTGTCACTATTTTGGGGATTGAGAGAATTCAATTCCAGAATGTTCAATTGAGTACCGCCTCAGTGTGTTCCAACAAATTGAGACTGGTGGTTTTAACAATCTTTCTGTTCCATATATAACTGTTAACAGAAATTTAAAATCTAAATGCAGTTATCTCCCTTAGAACACAATCAATCCCATAACCCACAGACATATTTCCAAATCCAATCCGTGCAATAAAAACTACATGAATTGGATATAAGCCTTTTCGTTGTTTGTCTCCCTGGCATTTGAATAGTATAAAAAAAACACTGTAAATCTCTAATTAACAGCTTTGAGATCTACTTACATCCTTTTTATGGGGAGTATATTGTTCTTGCCCATTTTCATTTGTCTTTCACGCTTGCTTGCTAGCCTGGAGGTCGCAGGTTCGCTCCCGGTATTGGCTGAGAAAGTTCATCAGAATTTTTCAGTGGTGTGGATTCCCGTTGTCAGTGGTGCAGGATGTAGGGCTTGAAAAGGACAGCTGTCTAGTCGTTTGGATGGGACAAAAACCAAGGTCCCTGTACACATTGGTGTGCATGTAAAAGACCCCCTGACAGTCGGAATTCGATATAAGAGTAGGTTGTAGCGCCGCTGTCCGGGCCAAATTTCCCTCATTAGCCCAGTCGGAGCAGAACAGTAGGATGTTAAACCCCATTTCATTATTCTAAAGATCAGAGGTTTCTTTTGCTACCCCTAGAAAGGATTAACCTTGTTAGAATATATTTTTATGTTGTATTTTTATGTTGTATATTTTGTGGGTCGGGTGTTCGATCCCTGCATTGGCCGAGAAAGTTCATCCAGATTTTCCGGCATGGTTCTCCCTTGTCAGTGATGCAGGACGGAGGGGCTGACAAGGAAAGCTGTCTAGTTGTTCGGATGGTATGAAAAACCGAGGTCCCGTGTACACATTGGCGTGCACGTAAAAGATCCCTTGGCAGTTCGATATAAGAGTAGGCTGTAGTGCCGCTGTCCGGGCAAAATTTCTCTCATAGCACACTGTATGGCGTATGCCCGTCTTCATTAGCCCAGGTTAGGAGCAGAACAGTAGGACGTTAAACTCCATTTCATTTCATGTATATTTTGTAGCTGTCCTGAAGGTGATAAATGTAAATTGTTATATTTTGTAGTTGTCCCGATGGTGATAAATGTAAATTGAATCACGATTTAAAGAAGAATAGTGAATCTTTAATGAAATATGGCATGTGGTCACCGGAATATAGATTAGAAGATATCATGAAAATAATTAGTGATACTTTTCTAACGTAAGTACAAATCTTCTACTTTATTTTTAATACACTCAGGCAGTTACGGCATACGTGTAGTTAGTATTAGTTACTAGGGCTGGCAATCGATCCTGTTTCAAGAAACTCGAATAACTTCGTTTGGAAGACCGAAATGCCACTGCTCTCCATATCTTTGTCGCTTATGACCTGAATAATAATGAGTAAAATGTAGTTATTTCCCTTTGATCACATCAAACAAATTCTTCATCCAGTTCGCCGTAACAGTTTATTTCTTGCAGTGATTTCTCGTGCGCACAGAACACTCTGTACAATGGCTTAATTCATGTTTTTGACTCCTGGTCACTGGGAGATCCATATAATTGCAATATTCCAGAAATGAAGAGTTAAAATAACGGGCACATTGTTACGTGAAACCATTGGATCTAATCATGACATAAGTGGCCAATATTTCTCGCCGGTGGTGTCTCGTGTGAAAAAACTAAATGTGTGTGTTTTATTATGACTATTCTGTTTAATTACAGTTCTAGGCCCAAGCACGCGTTACAAAGAATCCAGTGATAATGATTTTTTTTATGGACTTCTTCTTACAAGTGAAGTACCTATAATTGAGCGTTAATCGATATTTTAAAATTTAATCGATTTTTAAAACGCTTACCGACGATTATCGGCAATATCGATATTTTCCGCCAGCCCTATTAGTTACTATTTTATTAAGTTATGTTTCGATTATGTAACTTTGCTATAAAGGGGGAACCACAATGGCTTAGTCGGTAAGACGCTGGCTTCATTGGGATTTTCCGACGTGGTTTATCCCTTGTCAGTGGTGCAGGACAAAGGGCCTGACAAGGACAGCTGTCTAGTCATTCGGATGATATGAAAAACCGAGGTCCCATGTATACATACACTCTATGGCATATGCCTATCTTCATTAGTATTATTGCAGATCAGTTGCGTAAGAGAAATATTTTTCAGTGACCTGTATGGTGAATATATTTGATGATTTGTTATACTATATTCTCCAGGAGCGATACATATGCCAACAGAAAACCAGAACGCGAAAGAGATTCGTCTTATGAACGAGAACAGAAAGACTATTATAGTAAGAGAGGCATCCCCAAACCAAAATGGCAACTGTATATTCCGAGTGAAGAAATGTGGATGGATTTGGCCGAACACAACCACCATCGATTAGAGAGTAAACACAGAGCAATGGCAAGAGCTACAGCTGAATATGACGAAGAACTAGAAGCGATGTAATTACTTAATTTTATTTCTTAGTTAATGTCCGTGAGCAGGGTTTAGAATTTATGGGGGGTTGGATGGCCAAATGGTTAGTGCATGCGCGTTGTATCATAAGGTCTGTCATTGAGTCAACTGGCGTGGTTTTGATTCCTCAGTTGTATGTGACAAGGAGTTTGGTCACCCCGTCCAACCTCAAGGGTTTTCTTCTGGTCCTCTGGTTTCCTTCCACTGCTGAAGACCCCTACGAGCAAGCGAATTATTGAAATAAAATTGAACCATATGTTAGTCCTGAAATGACCTAGTTTGTGTCTCGTGGACGTTAAACCCCATTTCTTCCTCTCTCTCGCTTCTATTTAGAAGACAGTTATTTTTTGGGGATGTAACTTTTTTTTATCTTCATCCATATATCAGTTGATGTGGAGTATTTGACAAAGGCCCAACTTTCGTGGAAAAAAGTATCGACTGGTACACTGAAAAATATGATAATTAAAATTGAAAGTCATGCATGTCATATTCACAATTGATCTAAAAAGTCATGTTTTTACACTACTAGCCGATATTGTTTGACTGGCCATGATAAGGATAAATGATATTGAAATTTTGAATCGTTTAGGCCCCGAGTTCACAAAGCATTCTCAGACTTAAGTTAAGAATTTTCAAAACTTTCAATCACTGTTTATGAGAAATATCTTTGATCCAGAAACACAACACTTTGCATATGATTTCTTATTGATGTATTTGATACATTAAAACAACAAAGGGCTATATTTTAGTTAAAATAAAACAAACAATTTTGAGTAAATTCTTAACTTAAACATACATTATGCAAGAGCTAAATCTGCCTATTTCAGGTCTTTCTTTCGGCCTGAAATGTTATCTAAATTATTAATTAGACATTAATCAACCTATCCAGGCCATAATCAACTCTAGATGGCAGCGCTAGCCTGCGATCTTTAGTGGATTGTAAGCCGATTTACTGCATAATTTTCCTTTTCTCGATTAAACGATTAAATGGATAATCGAGACTATGCTGTTTATCGTACTGACTTTAGTAATGATGACCGAGGCTTATGGGAATTTCAGTCGCTTAGTTCTCACTTCATAGAGGCTCAATTTGAATAAAATTTTCACCGAATTGCCTTTACATTATTTAGTTTTTAACTATTATAGTGAGAACTGCCAACTCGTTACCGAATCTCCCATAATGTATCTTTAAGCCTGAGAATGCTTTGTAAACTTGGGGGGTAGGTTATTATCAGAAATCACTGTACGAAATTTGAGAGAAACATTTTCTCCATATTTTTTAGGAAACAGTATGACATAAGAGATCTGCTTGGTAAAGGTAAAAAGGATGTTCCAGAAATAAGCAATAAGGTTCTTCGACGATTGATTCCCGAGGAATCGGATGATAAAAAAGAGAAAAAGAAAGTTGAAAAATCTTCTGAATCACCAGAGAAGTCTGCAGAACCATCAGAAAGACCAGAAAAAGCGACAGAAGCAGAAGAAACAAAAGCTGAAGATGATACAAAAGAGGAGCAGGACATAAAAAAAGAGAAGCAATAACTGGTTTAGTTTTCATCATCGTTTAAAAAACGTTTCACCTGAGAACCATCATTGAAGATCAATCGTAACGTAAAAAAGATTTTTAGGAATACATTGGGATATCTGTGTCAGATGAATGAATGATTTAAAAGTAAAATGGAATTAAAGAAAACAGAGGAAAGATTCACCAAATTATATTAATTTGGAAACTCCAATAATATTAAGGAATAAAGGATGTGTTTATACAGGGCTATACAGAACTTTAAGACAGTTCAGTGCGTTTGGGGCAAACTCATTTTAGGCATAATTCAGGCACAGTGACAATTTATAATAAATTTCATAATCAGCAATCACAGTTATATTATTGATTTTGAATCAATTAGATATTTGGAGCCGGTGTTTAATAATTTATTGTACAGAAAACCATCAATTCTTTCCATGGGATTATCTTTTAAGATTTATTAATGAATTCATATCGACACATCTAAACCAAACTGGCTTTGGAGTCAGTGGTTAATAAATTGATAATAATGATTTCAGATCGATTTGCAAGAGATATTTTCAATATGTTTTAAGAAGAAATAGGAATTGAGTTCTATATTTTTGAGGGTTGCTATATGCTGTTTATTTGTTGAATGGAATCACGTTAAACCACAAGTACAAAACCGTTGAAAAACTACCTCAGAATAGATGTTACTGCTTTAAGATTATAATAGCTGCGATGCCCTTCAAGATAAATGTTAATTGTTACTGCTTTAAGATTATAATAGCGAATGCCAGGAGAAATACAACACAGAGGAAACAATACAGGAATACAGCATTATCACTAATTTGATAGGCCATGATAGATTTTGATGAAATAACAGTCTACTCAGCATATAATGAATATTGGTCAAGTAAACATAACATAACCGAAGATCTTCAATATACGATGAACGATAGCAGTTTTTTTTTGATGAAAACCAGGGATTTGATGCAAATGAAATGTAGATGTCTAGGGTTAGCAAAACAGAAAGTATTGCCTTTATGTGAGAAGTGTTATTTGATGTTCTAGAAAGAGTAAGGATGTCACTACTTATATCTAATTTGAAGGGATAGTTTGGACTTGAATTTGATGATCGTAGACAAATTGGTGGAAAATTATCGCAGGTTGTATCAAGTAAAAGTATACTATTGGTTTATAAAATGGGTTTAATATAAAACTTTTATAAAAAAAAAAAGAAGACATGGAAATAAAAAGATTGAAGGAATACCATCAAAAAGTGACTACGATTTTATCGTAATCGGGAATGACGATTTTTCAGTGAAATCTATATCTATATGTCTTACAAGGATTATGGGAATGACTTGCGTGGATATACAGACGGAAATGGAACAGACTAGATGTACATTAAATAGAAGACAAATTATATTATATATCAACAATTTGATTCTGGGAAACTATATTAAGATTGGATTTGATCTGTATATAATAAAAGCAGTAAAATATTATGATTAGGCTTATTATCTGAATATAAAATTTATCAGCTGCTAAGAGTAGAAGTAGAAAGTAAGAGGTGTTCTTAATTTGGTTGATTTTATTTCTAATTCTTTGTATGAAGTAGTTGAAAATGATTCATATTTTTCTTTAAAAAAAACCCAGCAAAATATTTAAAGAACTGCCTCAACAACTTACGTACATGTAGTTTAAATTAACGCTTAAAAGCCGTTAAAGGCATATCAAGAATTATTACTCAATCTGCAAAATTTTGAAAAAAAGAGTCGAATTTCTTTATGAAAATTTTCAAGAAATTGTTGTAATATTTTGATTGAATATAATACTGTATTTTACTTTAAAATATTTCTACGCTTATATTACGATAATGAATTTGAATTGAAAGTATATGAGCATACTGTATCATCATTGTATATAATCTTAAAATTAAATTGCAATTAGAAAATAGACCAATTACATCTACATCTACCATACATGTAGTTAAAGATAAAAGAAATTTTAAAGTACCAACCAGATGTGATGATATAAGGCTTATCGAATGAAATGAAATGGTGTATAACTTCCCACTGTTCTGCTCCTACTGGGCTAATGAAGACAGAGGCTTATCAGTAGAAGTCATTAAGAGCATTATCAAGACAAACCACCTTTTGTTAATCTCAACAGAAATTTTCATCAAGAATCAAAAAAGAATTATCTTTTCACCACGCTGTAAACATTAAAGAAGATTGTAGATTATTTTAAGAAAATGGTCGGCGCATATTTATACAGAAGAAAGTGGTATAATTGAAGATTAAACTACCAGAATGAATATATCGATAAAACCCAACATTCTTAAGAATTACACCATCAACAACTTCTGACAGGGACGAGTTTAAAATTATAAATCAGATATTTGGAAAACGACGATTTGTGAATTTCTACTGAGAACAAGGAATCAACCAGTATTTGAGGATATCTTGACTAAAATTGAGAATACATTTGTCATCACGTACAGAGAAATATAAAAATTTATGTAACAGATTCTCATGTTGGATAATTAAGTGTTTTTAAGCCCCCGACACTGTGCCTGAAATTGCTGGAATCGCGATATATTGACTATAGACATCGTTAAAGTGTTTTGTCAGTGCTCCTTATCAGATTTTTGATCTCATCAAACTATTCATTAATAATGTGCTGCTGTGAATTTGTTCTGTATCAATTCCAGAACAACCTCCTCTGAAAATTGTGTGTTTGCGGTCCCGAACTTAATGAACTTTTATGTGTCTACCCCAGTGACTCCACATGACCTATGAACTGTGAAAATTTGAATATTATATAATATTGTCACAGTGACGAATTGTTTGATACTTTTACTTATAATAGTTTTTGCCTGTATGAAGAATTTACTCTCTCTTTATCCATCTCATGGTTTTCTAATAACGTCTTTGTTATAAACAGGTCACAATTCTGTCGAATATAATTACTGAGCGACGTTTCGACTAGGCTTTTCTAGTCATTTTAATATCAAGCATTGATAAAATACGAAAATATGGGGGTGCTCGATTCACAGTCCAGAACATCCCAAATTGACAGAATTGCAATCAAGTCATCCGGAATTCAGTCCTGTGACAGTTTTGTCAGTCCCGACAACAGAGGTTGTGTGAGTAGAATCGTGACGACGTAATTAAACACATCAAATATGTTTTGGCTGTCATGGTTGGTTGATATATTTACTTATCCATTCGATGCATGCCCGAAATACCCCTTTTCATTCGATTGTCACTATTTTTGGGATTGAGAAAATTAATTCTGGAACGTTCAATCGAGTACCCTCAATATACACAACAATACTTGGTTAATACTGACCAACCAGAGATACCCTTTTTAATTGTATGTACCTAAAGAAGACCATACTCCTCGCAGTGTTTGGTTTGATTATACCTAATCCCACTAAACACTGTTTTAATGAAGGCAAATTTCTGTTCCAAATTATGACTGGTCAATGGTCCGATGAACAACCAATAGCTAACTGTGTTACAAAAGCATTACGCTTAAAACAGAGCTCCAAATTGGACCAAATATGTTTACATAACATAAAGCTCAAGTATCAGAAGCCAATCCAGCAATGGCGAGAGAGGGATTTCTCGGGCCATTGCTTCAAGAATATGAAAGAAGACCTGTTTATAGCCTACAATTACTAAATGCCATTGAAACTCTGTCTTTGTTAGTTTACAAATTCTGTACAGTCAGCTTGTAGTTTTTTTTTATAATACCATTTATATAAATGACAGTGATCATGCTTCCTAGTTTTTAGATATTGATACTTTGATCTAGTTATTTACATATGTCCATCTACTTACAGCATTGTGTATAATTTTACAGCTTTTTATTTGCTAACATTTTATGTGAGAGTATATTGGTTGTATCCATGTCCATATGATTATATTTCTGTGGGGGTTGGATGGCCGAATGTTTAGCGTGTGTGCGTTGTATGATAATGTCTGTCATTGAGTCAACTGGCGTGGTTTCGATCCCCTGGTTGTTCGTGACAAGGAGTAGGGTTGCCTGTCCAAACATGTGGATTTTCTCCTGGTCCTCCGGTTTCCTCTCACTGCTAAAGACCCCTACTCGCAAGCGAATAATTGAAATAAAATTGAACCATATGTTAGTCCCGAAATGACCTAGTTTATGTCAAGTGGATGTTAAACCCCATTTCTCTCTATATATTTCTGTCGGTTCACAATTTGTGTAATTCCTCTAGTGTACAGGTCAGAGTTTTTGCCATCCAAATTCGCTGTACTTGATTTATCCTGAACCAAACTTTTGTCACAGAGTTGACGCCCCTTGTAAAAACTCTGCCGGTCAGAGATTTTGAGATTTTCTTGGTTGTACACTGACTGGTAGTTTTCAGCTTGTCTTGAGGAGGAATCCTATTGAAATTCAGGATTGTGCAATGATAATTTGCAGAATTACCGCCACTGTCATTAGAACTTTGGAAATGCTTTATATATCAGCTTTAAAATGTTTTCAGATTTGTGTGGTTAGTCCTAAGCACGAAATTCAGAGTCCTACAACGCAATGTTACGGCCACTATCACAGGAAACTTGATTTCAGTGTTTTAAGGATTTTATTTTCAAACTTGTCAGAATTTTCAAAAAAGCCATCCACCAAAATACTGCTGGTGAGTGTACAGGGTGATATTGGGTACCTGGTAAGATTATGTTTTTTGTCCTCTACCTTTCGAAGAAAGCAGGGGACTATTAAGATGGATCTGTCTGCCTGCCTGCCTGTCTATCTGTCCGTCCGTCAAACTTTTTGGGACACAATATCTCTCCTTCTAATTGAGCTAGAATGTTCAAACTTGGTGTTTAATCGGTGGAGGCCTTGATGAAAGATGAGCATTTTCTGCTAAGGGTAAGCAGAGCTAAACAATTTGATTGGTTGATGCTTTGGGGCACTGTAACTTTGGTTCTAGTTAAGTGAGATTGGTGAAACTTAGTGTATAGTTTCATCACATGAATACCTTGACTATGTTCGATAATAAGCATTTTCGACTCTGGTAAGTAGAGCAATAAGCAATTTCGTTGGTCGAGATTTTGGATTTAGTGTTAGTGTTGAAACTTTGTGTATAGTTTCTTTACACCAATACCTTGACTAAGTTCGATGATAGAGACTTCAGTCTCATTGGTCGAATCTTTGGAACACAATAACTGTCCCCTTAATTGAGGTAGAATGTTCACACTCGGTGTCTATTAGGTGAATTCCATGAAAGAGTTCGACCATGCGCATTTTCCACTAAGGCTAAGCAGAGCTAACCAATTTCTTTGGTCGATGCTTTGGGACAAGATAACTTTGATTCTAACTGATTGAGAGTGATGAAACTTAGTGTATAGTTTCACTACCAGGTACTTCAAAACCTTGACAGAGTTCGATCATGAACATTTTCTGCTCAGGCTTAGCATAGATAACCAGTTTGATGACTCGATATTTTTGATAAAGATAAATGTGCAATTAATTAATATGTGTCATCTATTTATTTTGTGATTTCGGTGGTGTGGACCTGTTAGCATGGTTTGTATTGTATAGTGTTTTTCAATATTAATCTGAATCCGTTTTGTTAAATGGCAACAAAACTATGGCATGAAATCGCATTGAATTTACACTGAGAAAAAAATCAATAAAAATCCACATATGAATTGTTTTTTTATTGTTTATTCACAGAGCACGTGCGCGCTGCATTGAGTCAACTGGCGTGGTTTCGAATCCCCGGTTGTACGTGACAAGGAGTAGGGACGCCTGTCCAACCTCGTGGGTTTTCTCCGGGTCCTCTGGTTTCCCCCCACTGCTAAAGACCCCTACGAGCAAGCGAATTATGGGAATAAATTGAACCATATGTTAGTCCCGAAATGGCCTAGTTTGTGTCGAGTGGACGTTAAACCCCATCTCTCTCTCTCTTATTCACAGAGAGTCGGCAAAATTATTACTATTTAAAATAGATGTTCATGTACCAGGCCTAAACAGGGAGCCAGGGTGGCTAAGTGAGTAAGACGCTGGCTCGCAAGTCTGGAGCTCGCGTACGTGTTCGATCCCTGGATTGGCCGAGAAAGTTCATCTGGATTTTCCAACGTGGTTTCCCCTTGTCAGTGGTGCAGGGCGGGGGGTCTGACAAGGACAGCTGTCTAGCCGTTCGGATGGTACGAAAAACCGAGGTCCGTGTATACATTTTCGTACACGTAAAAGATCCCTTGACAGTTGGAATTCGATATAAGAGTAGACCATAGTGCCACTGCTCGGGCAAAATTTCCCTCATAGCACACTGTATGTTACGCATTCATTAGCCTAGTCGGAGCAGAACATTTCATTTCCAGGTCTAAACAACTAAGATAGTAGATCATTACACGCGCAAGATGCTAGAACATTACGACCTCTGGACACTAGATCATTAGGCTCTCAGGACAATAGACCATTAGGCTCTCGGATATTAGATTATTGCCCTCTCAGTATATCGGAGCATTACGATATCGAGATACTAGAACATTAAGATCTCGAAATATTAGATCATTACGCCCTCGAGATATATAGCATTACGCTCTAGAGATACTAGAACATCACGGTCTCGAGATTCTGGATCATTATGATAGCGAGATACTATAACATTACGCTCTTGAAACGGATCATTACGATCTCGAGATATTGGATCATTATGATATCGAGATACTGGATCATTAGGTTCTCGAGATACTGGATCATTAGGCTCCCGAGATACTATAGCATTACGCTCTTGGAATGGATCATTAGGCTCCCGAGATACTATAGCATTACACTTTCGAGGTACTAGATCATTACACTCTCGAAATATTAGACGAGCCCGTTACTAAGGGGTGTGGGGGTCCTTGCAAAAAGTTTGCCCCCCCCCCCCCCCCCGAAAAAATTGTCGACCATGAAAACAATAGATATATACTGCCCGTCTATTTAACAGCACCCCTGAGAACACTTCCCACCCCCTCGTTGTTCTGAGCTAGTTACGGCCCTGATATTAGATCATTACTCTCTCCGGATATTAGATCATTACTCTCGCCGGATATTAGATCATTACTCTCTCCTGATATTAGATCATTACTCTCTCCGGATATTAGATCATTACTCTCTCCGGATATTTATTAGATCATTACTCTCTCCGGATATTAGATTGTAATTTGTTAGTCTTTCAAAATACTCAGTCGTTCCACTATTAAGGTTATTCATCCATTACTCTACAGGTAATCGATCATTACATTCTCAGGTAACTAGATCTATATTGTTAGAATTTTCTGTTCGTTCACTTGTACTCTAAATTGTATAATAGTGGGCACCTGGTTTTCTTACCTTCCAAACAACTAGACATCACTGGCATATCATTGTCCAGTATGCTGTACTCTTGACAGCTGTGACAAGCGAACGACCAACTATTGGGGACGTCCTAATATGGTACACTTCATAAGCATGGTGCATGCAAAGAGTAAAAAAAAAAAAAGCTGTCGGTTTATCTTCTACCTGATATACAGATCGTCTGCACAATGACAAAGCTTGGTGTGCGCAGACTTTAAAGTGTGTGCCCGATGCCTCTGGGGTTTTTTCATCTTGCTTCATAGTCGTAATACGAGCCATCAATTTATTATGGCATGTTAAGTAGAAATACCTTCCCCAAATCCCCAGTATTTCTTATACAACATGGTAATAATTAGACTACCATTCGTAAACTTCCAATATAGTTAGCCGAGTACCATAGTTGTCAGAATTAGGAATGCAGGCAACTTGAAGACAATATTCTGCTTTCTAAAAGCCATGAATTTTATTATCCCAGAACTATTTTTTGTATTTTTAGCCCCGTGGGCATGGCACAACCCAGCATACATTCACTCTGTCGTCCATTGTCGTTTTTTAATCAATTTGATTAAAATACAGATCTATATTTCGTTTCGTTTTTTTATACCGACACTACATGAAGATCTGACCAGTTGTACTGTAAGATCGCGTCAGGGGTCGTACGAGCGGCTTTTGAAAATATGTCTCGGGGTGCTTTTTGAACAGGAAAATGTAGTTTAGCAGGCTTTAAAACATAGAAATCAACACTTAGATCATGCAAATCGGACAACTACAAATATTTCTAAGCAAAACATCAACTTCGGGTGGCCATTTTGGCGGCCATCTTGGGTTTTTAGTTGGCCAATCGGGCAGATTTGATTAGTATCCCTTGGAGAACAATTATGCCAAATTTGATGCTTGTATCGTCATTTGCACGATTCTTCCCAAAAATTGCTCTTATCTGCTTCACTACAACCTCCGGTATCCTCAAGACCATAGGCGTACGAGCTGGGGGGGGGGGGGGGCTGGGGGCGACCGCCCCACCCATTTTGGGCACCAAATGCTGGGAAAATTTGGGCACACAATTGTACTTTGTAAAAGTTGTATAAAAAAAGATATTGTGTTCTTGAATGTGTCCAATCTAACACCGAATTTTATTATTATTATGTAAGATACTAAGAACCTAACTACATTTTTTGGGCACCAACCAACACCGCCCCCCCCCCCCCAGTCAAAAATTTCCCCGTACGCCTATGCTCAAGACCCCCTGCGTGCAACCGATTAGTCCGGCTGCTGCATGCAGAAAGGAAGAAGTGAAACTCCTATTAATTCATACTAAGCTTACGCTGTCTTGTCTACAGTTAGCTCCCCCTGAGAACAGACACTAAGCTAGTTGACCGACATTTTAAGTCCTAAATCGACGATTTTAGTCGAAAACATTAAGTTTTCTTCGGAATTTTGAGAAGTATTTATTCTGCTTCCAATTAATAGAATTGGATAGGTTTATTAGCCTTTGTGTGGATGCCAGATGTGAAACGGAGTAGAATCGCATTACAAAACAATATACTAATTTTTGGATATGGCGGTCATTCACGACAGAGATTTATTCTCCAAGTATGAAGTAGATGAAACTATGTGTGAAGAATGCAGTTAATTATCCCCGACGAACACCATTTAATTTCAATATTAAAATATATTCTGAACACTGCCAAAATATGAGATATATCGAGGAATGAGAGTTGAGGGTAGGCTACAGACCATAGTCTTATAAATAAACACTAGTAAATTCCTTGTAAACAAAGCTAGAAAATCGTTCAGCTTTCTGTAAGGTTAGATCCAGATCGTCAAGATATGATAAGTTTAGTTGTAAATTATACGTTAAGTGTGTCTATAGACAAGTTTTAAGGTTTAAAGCGGTTCACACAGAATATATGGGAGGCATTCCACGTCAATTCGACCAGAGGGGGAACCTCACCGTCATCGATTTCGCTCATAATTCTTGATCAAAAATATTTTCCAAAAAACTTTAGTAGTCGGAATTTTTGGAAAATATTTTGGATAAAACCTTTTGATCAAAAATATTTTCCAAAAAACTTTAATAGTCGGAATTTTTGGAAAATATTTTGGATCAAGAGATTTCATAAGGCATCACTTCCATGAAATTATGAGCGAAATCGATGACGGTGGGTCCTTCCGCTGGTCGAACTGACGTGGAATGACCCATAACATTTAACTCAAATCTGACCATAGACAATGGAATGGGGCTGTAACGATATGCAGTGTTCTATGAGGGGATTTTGCCCATAACATTTAACTCAAATCTGACCATAGACAATGGAATGGGGCTGTAACGATATGCAGTGTTCTATGAGGGGGATTTTGCCCGGACAGCGGCGTTTTGTCTAATTGCAGTAGTAGTAGTAGTAGTAGTAGCAGCAGCAGCAGCAGCAGTAGCAGCAGCAGCAGTAGTAGTAGTAGTAGTAGTAGTAGTAGTAGTAGTAGCAGCAGTAGTAGCAGTAGTAGTAGTAGTAGCAGTAGCAGCAGTAGTAGTAGTAGTAGTAATGACAGTAGTCGTAGTAGTAGTAGCAGTAGTAGTAGCAGTTCAGTAGTAGCAGTAGTAGTAGTAGTAGTAGCAGTAGTAGTAGTAGTAGTAATGGCAGTAGTCGTAGTAGTAGTAGTAGTAGTAGTAGTAGTAGCAGTAGTAGTAGTAGTAGCAGTAGTAGCAGTAGTAGTAGTAGTAGTAGCAGTAGCAGTAGTAGCAGTAGCAGTAGCAGTAGCAGTAGCAGTAGTAGTAGTAGCAGTAGCAGTAGTAGTAGTAGTAGTAGCAGTAGTAGTAGTAGCAGTAGTAGTAGCAGTAGCAGTAGCAGCAGTAGTAGTAGTAGTAGTAGTGGTAGTAGTAGTAGTAGTAGTAGTAGTAGCAGTAGTAGTAGCAGCAGCAGCAGCAGTAGTGGTAGTAGTAGTAGGAGTAGAAAGTGCTTTCGCAGAGCAGGGTATATTTCAAGGTTTTATTGGCGAAGGACGATTCCCGGGGTTTTGGGGTTCCGTGAAAATTTCCGGAATTTGACTTCCGGTAATACGATATCACGCTTACACTTTTATAACCGAAATATAACAGAATTAACATATTTATATTTATAACTGAATTAACATATTTATATTTATAACAGAATTAACATATTTATATTTATAACAGAATTAACATATTTATATTTATAACTGAATTAACATATTTATCTTTTACGTGAATGCCAATGTGTACACGGGACCTCGGTTTTTCGTCCCATCCGAACGACTAGACAACTGTCCTTGTCAGGCCCTCCGTCCTGCATCACTGACTTTTGAAACAGAAAGT